TTATCTGTATAACCGGCAGCTGAAAGTATACGTTTATCTATATAACTGGCAGCTGAAAGAATTAAAATGTGTGGATAGATGAAAAATTAGTGGATTGGTTAATTTGTATAGTTATAATCAGAGCATATTAAAGATGAGTGGATTGAATATATCTATAATCAGAATCTGAGGATAATAAAAATAGGGTTGTTTTGACTGTATTTTAGTTGTCCTTGATAAGACTATTAATCGGAAACCTTACAAAAAATCACCATCTACCTTTTTTTATTGAGTGTTAATCTTCTGTTATCCAAGTCATTGATAACTGAATTATTTCTGTGTAATAGTAAACACAAAACATTCCAAATGTGTGATCTTAATGTTATCCAAATCATGAACATTACATTTCTCCAATTATACACAAGGTGTGTGTGCATTTGGTTCATACTAAATTCTTAAGAAATAAACATGAAATCACTGTAACATAAAAAAAAAGTGTGGAATTTGATGTTTTTTCTAGTTGATTTTTGTGAAGCATAACTTTTATTTATATCAAAAACTTAGCAAAAGACAACATTTTAATTATTGTAGATCCTAAAGAATTTGACGTGAAACGTTTCTACGAGGCAACAGATGTTTTTATGCCTACTCTTTCTTCAGATGTAATAAAAGCGTATGTGAAAACTGGAGAACCAATGTAAGTAGAATTAGCATATTCTAACTAGACGGTTGTTTCGTTAGGCCTAAACAAAATGATCTCAATCATGATTAGGTGTAGATGTTTAATTATTACAATTTGGATTTGAAAGCAGAGACTTATAAAACTAATTTTTAGATCTATCTTTTGCTTGCCATAAGTCATTGCTTAAGAGATATTTCTTTAAAATCCATCACTCAGAGCCAAGAAATTATAACACAAAATATTTATTTGACATTTCTTTACGTGAACAGTACCACTAACTTCCATTTATTTTTCTCAGTTTAGATTTCTGTAATGTATTTCTTTACTTTATAAAACGTAAAATAGAACCTGTTACTCGTTTAACTGATGATGCTACAAACTAGCTAGCTTGGTTTAACAAAATATTGCTTAATTACTAGATTTTAGCAAAGTTAATTCTCACGTGCAGGAAATGATGCGTTATATCTAATAAACTTTTCAGTGTCAACAGATCCTCTATGGTTGTATACAACAAATGTTTGTTGAACTGTCAATCATTTAAGATAAGAAGTTAATGTGCGCTGTCTTCAACCCAGTACAGAAATGTTTTTCTCATACTTCTAAACTTTACTGGCTTGCACTTCTTTAGTTTATTTTACACAGCCACAAGTCTATTAGAAATGCAGTATAAGAAACTTAATGCAGGTGTATGAAATGCCTAAGCAGACATAGTGAGGTATTTTAAGGCCCAACAAAAGTTATGAAAATGACACTAGACTTTCGGATCATTAGTCTATTAGTATTTCAGAAGTACGTAAAAAATCAATAATAAAGAATTGCACTCAAAATCATTGTTATTTTTACTGTATTATTAGGCCTTTAAAAAAAGCTTTCTTACTTCACAAGATACATATTTTACACCATAATTATGTTTGTTTTTGATAAGTTTCATAACACTTGGTGTATCCTAAAACTTTTCTTACACCAGGATGATCCTAAGCTTTATCGACCAGTTCTAGATAAACCATTAAGACTTGTTCTACCCTATGTATGGTATTCATACTTGTTCTACGCTACGTACCGTATTCTTCAAATTATCTAATGAATACGTAATAGGTAATATTCATTATTAATTTGCAAGGAAAATGAAAATTGTAATCTGTTTTTATATTGTGTAGAAATTTAGCAATTTTCCAATTACGACCATGTGTTTGATTGTATCAGACTTGTAAACTTAGCCAGCCAGAAACATACAAATTAAACTCGTTTAACTTGCATTGAACAGGGACAAGGCGGGAGGCTATGGTATTCAAGAAAAAGGAGGTACTCTGGTAGAACGGGTCAGTGGAGATTATTTCAACGTCATGGGTTTTCCACTCCACAGATTTTGTAAAGAGTTACTGGATTTTCTATAATGTCACTCAATAAATACAACAACCTACAATGTTTGTATTGAATTACTTGACCACACATATGTTATTGTGGTCAATCAGTGTTCTAATCCTATCTACAGTGTGTATAAATTTAACTAGTGTCTTTGAAAACAATGGTTTCGACAGATACTCTGTTATAGTGATTTCTTATTGAAAGTTCAACTAAATTTTCAGAATAACAGGTCAAAATCTAACAAGTTTCCTAAACCGAAAGAAACCGTACATTGTAAGTGAATCTTACAGTATATAGCATTAAAATGAACTTTACAATATCAATGTAATTAATAATTTCTAATTGAAAGTAAGGTAACCATATATATATATATATATATATATCAGAACTAAAAAGTACCTTATAAATTACTAGCCAAGTCTCTAAAATAAATAGACTAGACATTCACAGTAGCTTAAATCATGCACACAAACCAATGATGATGGTTCAGCATTAAGTCTGATAACTTATTAATGCTACTCATTGGGTTTTGATATCCATGGGGAGCAGAGCACAGATATTCCATTGTGTAGCTTTGTGCTTAACAACAAACACGAGAAAATTAAAACTAACAATGATTAGAATGTCTTCAGTAGTATTGTAAACAACAAGGGTACCCACAAAAACAGCCTGGATATTATGTCTGAAAATATAGATGATGGATTGGTATATGAATTCTTGTAAACACCGACAACTGGTTCATGTGACTTTATAAAGATCAGGGCTTGGTATGTCTCTTTAGCACCTATGATACTTAAAATTTATTTGTTAACTTAGATCATGATGATTATTGTCCTTTATACTTTGTTGCCCAAATGTATTAATATCTTAAATAAAGTATTTGTTTCCATCATGAAAAAGGTGGTCATATTTAGAAATATTTCCATAGTTCATAAAACGGTGAATACAGCCTTCTTCATATACCAATCTATCATCTATATAAAGTCACAGGAACCAACTGTTGGTGTTTATAAGAATTCATATACCAATCTATCATCTATATAAAGTCACATGAACCAATTGTTGGTGTTTTCAAGAATTTACATACCAATCCATCATCTATATAAAGTCATAGGAACCAATTGTTGGTGTTTACAAGATTTCATATACCAATCCATCATCAATATAAAGTCACATGAACCAATTGTTGGTGTTTACAAGAACTTACATACCAATCCATCATCTATATAAAGTCATAGGAACCAATTGTTGGTGTTTACAAGAATTCATATACCAATCTATCATCTATATAAAGTCACATGAACCAATTGTTGGTGTTTACAAGAATTCATATACCAATCCATCATCTATATAAAGTCACATGAACCAACTGTTGGTGTTTACAAGAATTCATATACCAATCCATCATCTATATAAAGTCACATGAACCAATTGTTGGTGTTTATAAGAATTTACATACCAATCCATCATCTATATAAAGTAACAGGAACCAATTATTGGTGTTTACAAGAATTCACATACCAATCCATCATCTATATAGTCACATGAACCAATTGTTGGTGTTTACAAGAATTGACATACCAATCCATCATCAATATAAAGTCACAGGAACCAATTGTTGGTGTTTACAAGAATTTACATACCAATCCATCATCTATATAAAGTCACATGAACCAACTGTTGGTTTACAAAAATTCATATATTAATCCATCATTTATATAAGGTCACATGAACCAATCATTCTTGATATAAACAAGTCCCATACCAATCCTTGATCCTTTTATAAAGTCTGTTGAACTAGTCACTGATATATGTAACAAAAGTAACTAAATCATAGTGTTAGAAATAACTAGTTTTTTGTTTAACAATCTGGATTCCACAGATTTGGAGGTAAAGAAGGTCACACCTTTGTGTTCTAATAACTATAAGTTGATTTTTAAATATTTCTGACTAGGTTGTTTTTAAATTTTCAGTTTTTCTTAACGTTGATTATTGTGAAATTATAATTTTCTTAATTGACCGATAACCGTGTAATGTATATACATAATAGCTAGAAAAATAAAAGCTTTTCGAGTGATTGCATATCGGGGAAACAGCAGCAAGAATCCACTATCAATTACCAGCATAGCTGCTCCAAAACAAAATCTAAAATCTTGAACGATAATAAATAAAAGATTACATTTATAATCACTAAAGCAATTTCAAATAAAATTAATTATGGACACCTAAGTTGGAGATAGAACACTTTCTGGTTTTTGTGTCACAAGTTTTTGAGCAATATACGCCCTCTGTCAGTCCGTATATGTGTATATAATACTACTTAAATATCAAAGAAATTGGTAGCACCTTTACTCATGCAATACATTACATATACATCAACATGAAAAATGTATTTTTGTCTTGAAAATAATGCATACCTACAAACAATGAAACAAGAAATAAACAAATATTAAAAACATTTAATGCTATTAGAATTCATCTGGTATATTATAAGTACGTACTTCTTTTTTTTTAAATAAGCATAACCGATGAACAGGTAGTAACTGAAATCACCAAAGAAATTTGTACCTCTGAACTTCTTTAACACGGACAGAGGTTAAAATCTCCAAGTTTAATCCCCCTGTAACACTCTTTTACAGACAACACTTGAAACTGTAAGAAACTTATGCCCCTGTATTCCTCTTTTAAAGAGACTGATTATTAAAAATGGGCTTTTGGCAAATAGATCTCAGTTTTGTAGGAACAATTTGACAATTAAGAATCCATAATGTTTTAACATAGTTAGGGAGAACAAGAATTATTCAGTGTTATTTAATTTATTCTAATGATGATAAAACCATCTCTTATATGTAAAGATAAATATTCTGTAGTTTTCAAAAGATTAAAGTAACAACAGCCTTTGAAAGAATGTTATATAAAAATCAAGCTATTCTTCAATACTAATAATATCGGAAACATTCATTACAACTATATCTACTTTAATGAGGTACTGCATAAAAATGTGATGAAATACTTGCATAGTGGATCTACATAAAAGATAAAAAGTAACCACTTAATAATCCAATATAACTTAAATATTGATTTTAAAACAGAAAACAAAACTCTGACCCATAAATACAATTTTCAAAGTATTGTACAATCGTTTAAATACCATCGAAATATATTTACTGTACCAGATGCCGAGTCAGCAATTTGATCATCTTTCATTCTTTGCTGCGTTGTTTAGTTTCACACCGTTTCTTTGCAATACCACCAGATGGCACTACTTTATATCTATCAGTTCTAATAATTACAAAATGAATCTTTATATATTCGTTTTCACCATAAGTTTCCGGTTAATGTAGTACTGTCTAGAAACCTGCAACACAAACAAGTCTTTCCGAGATCAGTTCCATCTTGCTACATAACTAAGCACTGAATACTTGCAGCAATTCTTACAGTGTCATTCATAATATTAATGAACCTGTGAAGAGTGAAAATTAAAATACAGACATTTTTCCCTATTCTAATATTTTGGATAAATAAGATATACCATTTTAAATATATATACATATTTTATGCTATTTCTCTGTATTAACCAGGTAATGAGTTACTGATATTTGATGCATGTTGTGAATTGAACAAGACAAACTTCTTAAGAAATACTGAATCTTCAAAATAAATGTATTCCTTTCATACAAGTTTTTTTTAAACACTAAGTTCTAATCAAAATTTCTATGATGAATACTATCAAATAAATATCAGTATTTCAAATACAAAGTTACCAAAAATACTTTCAAACCAAATTTAAATTCATACTTTTCAAGACACAAGACAATAACTAAATTAAAGGTTTCAAACTTAAAGAGAATTTTTCACTTAGGTGGCAAATTACTACATCTAAAATGTCTAAATTGCTTTTATGATCAAAACTAGTTATTTCGAACTATACATTTTTATCAATCTACCATTGTGATAAAGGTAAATCTTGTCATTTTATAAACACTTGTTACAAATATAATTCACCATCAAATTAAACTTGCATAACACTTCTATAACTGAGAGATTCAAACATACACAGGTTAAAAAAATATAAATATCTTTATACTATTAGGTCTGGAGATGGGAGCATAGTAATTTGAAATTTGAGTGACCCAATTATTCAAAAGGACAGAAAAACTATAAAAAATTCTCTTCCTACAAAAATGTTGATACAATTTTACAAGAGAGACTTTAAAGTTGTCTAAAAATAATACTGCCAGCTATTTGTGTAGTCATGCTCTTCTCAAACCACACACGGTCCAAGCTGTTGAGACAATGAAGAGTTCAACAGTGTAGCATTGGGTGTGACTAGTACATTTCACTGTTTTCGTCATCAGTTAGAACAACAAGTGATTTTAAAAACAATAATTATAACTTAACAATATAATAATAAATCATGAACGTTTCAAATCAACAGAACTGATGATGAAGTGCTGACCAACAGAATCTGTTTAGAGGAGAGCAAATAATAAGACTTAATAGCGGATATATCTAATGTGCTTATGATATTTTTTTTAACTATACAAGCCCTACAAAAACAAGAAATTTATCATCAGAAGAAGGTAGTTGAAACTTGCATATCTAAGAATCATTTCAAAAAACGGTCCCACAGGTTCTTTGGTATAGAAATGATGAATGTAGTTTGATCATTGCAAATTCATGACTGTAAAGAGTAGTCCATAATAAATAGGATTAAATGTTTGAAAATTAACAAATATTCAAGTGAGGGAACATTAAAACTGATCACTTGGGGGTTCTAACGCATGCATTAATAACAAACAATTAACCATACAAACAATTGGGATGTGTTGGGCTTGCCGTGCATTTGTTCTAAGATCTTGTTCTATTGACAATAATCAAGATTAAGAAAACCTATAATACTGTAAGTAGAGGATATCAAAAACAACCAGTCGGCATTCTTTATAAACAGTCAATGGGCTTACGCAGTCAGATATCTTAGTAAGCAATAGTGAATGCCATAACTCACTAAATTACAGCCAATAAAAATCTTTCTTTCAAATATGCTTAACACAAAGTACTAGGTTGCGTCTCCTCATGCGTAGTGTGACAGCAAACAACTGGTCTTGTAGTATTTTACCTTTCTTCACAATCCAATTCCTGGTGTTTCATGAAATTTATAAATGTACAGTCGATAGTCCTTGCTTGCCAACACAATGGAGCCATCTTCAACAAGAGCCACATCAAAACACTGAGCATGTTTCACCTTGCTTTCCAGAGCATTCACTAGCTGCCCATCTTGAGTAAAGATAGTAATATTGAAATTATTGTGATTATCAGCCACTAGAATTTCACCAAGTGGACCAATACACACACCGATTGGGTAGTTTGTTATTCCTTCTCCACCAATCTGCCACATGAATACTCCCTCATAACTGAACACTCTCACACAGTGAGCTCTGTTATCACTAATGAATACTTCCTCCTTGTCATTAACAACAACCCCATTGGGAAACTCCAGGTGTTTGGAGCATCCAAACTTGTGATGAACGTTGCCCAAAAGATCAAAAATGATAACACGCATCACCTTGCATTCTACCACGATAATACGACCTTTATTGTCAACGG